GTATGTAGGTCCTACGATAGAGAATACAGCTTTAATCTGATCTTGATGAAACTGTGTATGCATGTATATATTGATGAGATCTCGGTCATGTTCGAAATTGGTAGTAATCGGATGAACGGCTTCAAAGTTATTGCCCTTGTAAAAACGCGGGATGCAATTTTTATCTGATCTTGATGAAAATTAGTATGCATGTATATGTTGTTAAGATCTCGATCAAGTTAGAAATTGGTAATAATAGGTTGAAAGGTTTCAGAGTTATTGCCCTTGACTTAGTAAAAACGCTTGTATACATAAAGGCTAAATTTTTTATCCGATCTTGATGAAACTTAGTATGCTTGCAGATATTGATAAGACCTCAGTCAAGTTGAAAATTGGTAATAATCTGATGAATGATTTCAGGGTTAGTTCCCTTCACTTAGTAGAAACACGCCAAAGTTGGCTTGTTTGAATTTGGTCATAATCGGATGAATGGTTTTAGAGTTATTGCCCTTGACTTTGTTAAAACGCTTCAAATTTGGCTTGTAGTCCTGATACAGAGTGCAGTTTAAAGATTTTGGCCAATGGACTTAAAACCTAAACCATCAAATTTTCATCAGAAACACGCAAAAATACGATAAGAAAAATTAAAGATATAATCCTAGCCAAACCTCTTGGCATTAGATTAATGAGACTTTTCGCGCGTTCCAAAATCGCCTTGCCGGCTGAGGTAGGCTAATTAAAAATTTCTTAGCTCCTGCAGTTTTTGTTTGCTTCCTATAGAGGTCCTGTTTTAGATATATTTTCATGTAGCCTAAATGATTTACAACGTTTTGATAATAAAAATTTTGAAATATACTGCCACTTTGACCACTTTTTATTCCTTTTCTCTTAGATATTTCATTAACCATTAGGCCTAGTTGACCAGACGACTGTTATTTTGTCAATTGTGATAAAATTTGAAGCAACACCGTTCACGACAGGTATAGAACTAAGTAATTTCCTTTTTGAGATTAATACAGCCTATATTTGTATAATGGGTCGATTGCACGGGTCAAAGCGTCCGCATATGATCAGTATGGTAGCATCCTGTTCGATAACTTCAAAATGGTTCTCAGTGCAAATATTTATGAAATGCAGTATTTAGTTTTTAACAACGAACAAAGTTTTTATTTGTTAAAAGAAATTTTAATACAAAATTAATAATAATTCATGTTGCATTATGTTTATTGAAAAATATTATTATTCGTTTTTTAAATTATACTGGTATAGTATTTTAAGACACCAAGGAGACGGCGCTGAATTCAAGATGGCAGCCTCCATGAGAAACACGATTTTACTTTATTAAGCGCATTTGTTTTGACGCAGATGCTATTATAACTTTATTTGACTTTTCAACAATGATCATCTGCAGAAAACCACACGTAACATGGTGTGTTCTACGCCATATCAGATCTTTGTATTCAACTGTGAATGACAATCACAGCATAGTGAGCCTGTTTTCGAAAACAGGGAACTGGGTAAATAATAAATTATATTGTCATTGACGTCATTGACCATATTATGGTTTGGATAAATTAATTACGTAATACATGCATTTTGTTAGCGGTGATTCTAAGTGGCGGAACCAGGGTGTTCAGTCAACCTGTTTACATGTCAACTCGTGTACAGTTAACTCTTCAACAACATCGAGTTAACCTGTCAACAACTCGAGTCAACCTGTTTACTCAAATTATAAACACGGGGACAAGTGTCTAATCTATGCGTCTAATTTAATGAGGCTTATGTGATCAAGCATAATTTGGGATTAATGACATCATCAAACATTTGGTTTGAGTTGAATTGCTTTTAACTTGATTATACCAATTCCATTTTGATCTACAAATATGGGATAATTGTTTGCATAATCTACTTGAAGGTTCATCTAACTCATTATTTGACTGATTTTTAATCTCAATATGAATTACATTGCAAACATTTTCCTCAATTCCAGGCTACAGAATTGAACAATGATGTTAGAATAGAGATTGAAAATCATTGGAAACCTCAACTGAAAGAACATGACATTAAATACAGATCATTACAGACATCAGATAAGGTAAATCTACTGTAGATATGACAGGTTTACCAAATATTCTTTATACGGAAAAATCTGCTCTTGAGTTACAATAACTTATGTATTGGATACAACAGAGCAGAGGGTTTTCATGTTATATAAATTCCTGACAGGGAATGTTTTTAAGTATCAGAAATTTTATATATAATTTCCTTGGGATCTTATATATAGGATTTTCTATGAGATATTTTATGAGATATAAAATCCAGCCAGAACAATAAGATGACGTCACAGGAGGTTTATAAGTTTAGAAAATGAAGTGCTGGTTTGTCAAAACGGCATGTTCAAGCAATAAAGAGTAAATGTGCTGCAGATAGTCATGTTTTTTGCTAATAGATTAAAATATAGATCTTAATATTTTATGCCATGTACTTTTTGCAGGTTACTAGTCCTGCCATCAATGACCTGACCAAATTCTTCATCAAATCATATTTGTTTCCTCAAAAATTTAATGCTAAACAATCAAAAAACAGTCCTATAGGAATTTACAAGAATGCACAATGACCAATAATAGGAGAAGTCTTGAAACATCTATATTTTACAAGGATTTACAAAGGTTCTTTTCTGCCAGCAGGTTCTTGGCCAAACCTCTTGGCATTGATTTTTCTAGGATTATTCATACCCATTTACAGCTGGGTCAACTAGAATTATGAGTGAACGTAACTTGTTATGAGTGAGATTAGATTTCACAGCCACCATTTGCTTGACATAACCAAGCAAGTGGCATCCTTTAAAGAACAATGCTCTTACCATCTGTGCTATAGAACCCCATAT